TTTTTAACCCTTTGACTGTCGCAACCCCCAAACTGAGGGTTCCTGGTGTTGCAAAATTAAAAAAAAAATTATTTTTTCTTATGAAATGATAGAGAATCTTTTCCCGATTGTAATGACACGAAATTTGATGGAAAACTGACGGAATTATGCTCTCCCGAAGTTAGCGACCTCGGCGCTGTTTACGAATCGGCGATTTCACCCACTTTGAGCCCTATTTTCGGCTAATTCCATTGTTCCAGTTGCCCAAACTTATAGCTATTTCTTTAGAACTCCATTTTTCTATCGATTGAGTACAAGAAACTGCCCATTTCCCGATTTCAGCTACCTAATAATGTGGTCAGAAATTTGCATTTGGCCAATTTCACGAAAAACTAAAAAATATGACAATTTCAAATAAGGTCCAGAAATGAACAATGCAGACATTCCTGGCTCTAAAATAACATTTTCTTTGCTCATCAGTATGTCTCCAGGCCCCTGATTATTACTCTTGCTTTCTATTTTGAATTTTTATTCAAACAAATAATAGAAGACTTTTCTATTATGCAGACTACTGCAATACTGTAATAAAATTGTATAAATAACATCAACCCATTCTTTGACTGCCATATTAGAATGGCTAGTTGGACATTTATTGGACATGGCATCATTTGTTACTTTTGAACATCGGCAAAAAAATCAAACATTTCCCCTACTTTGGCTCCATTTCTAGTTCTTTTTATAGTAAAATCAATCAAAATCACTATATTTCTATAATATGTTTTCCATTCTATCAAATGATACCAAGAAAACGAGAGTACAACCATAAATACTATACAAAAATAGACGACAAAGTCGGCATTTAATTAAAAAATAACGGTCGGAGTTTTTTTTTCTCATTATGCACTGCATGCTCCAGGATTTTTTTTATATGGTCCCAACACTGACCACACAGACCCATTCTCTCACATGTGGGCCTACCAGCTTTCTCCTGCATGATTTGAAGCCGCTAGACTTTATGAGTATGTATACGTCAAACACGGTACCTTGTAAGACGTATATATACGGCCGCGACAGTCAAAGGGTTAAGCATATGAGGCATCTCTGCCCCAGGTAGGGTTCCCGACACTAGGTCACCCTGATGAAGTGGTGAGGTTTTTACTGGTTTGTGCCTAGGGCTTGATTTGCCTGTGCAGGCGCTGACTGTCACCTCATTACAGTTTCTCTCCAACATGCAGTCGACCGTGTTTCCAATTGGGCCACCACACGTGGGTTTAAATTTTCCAGCACTAAAACCCACCAAATTACTTTCACTAGACGCTCTGTTATCTCCGATCATCCTTTGTACCTCTATGGCTCCCGTATCCCTGAACGTGATACAGTCAAGTTTTTTGGGCCTCCTCTTGATCGTAGGTTATCCTGGAAACCTCACATTACCTCTCTGAAGGCAACTTGTCACAGCCGGCTGAACCTTCTTAAAACCCTTGCTTTATCTTTCATGGGGGGGCTGATCGTCGAAAACCCCCCTTCGCCTACATTCCACCCTTATTTTATCGAAACTTGATTATGGTGACCAGATCTATTCAGCGGCATCCCTGCTACTCTCTTAGCGTTAACCCCATTCATCACCAAGGATTCGGGTTTTTGCCCTTTGGGGCTTTTCGCTCTTCCCCTGTCGAGAGCCTCTATGCAGAAGCGAACGTTCCATCCTTATCCGATCGCCCGTGGGTGCCATTGCCTGCGCTATGTACGCTCTCATGATCTCCGCAATCCTTCCATTTATAGAATGGTCACTGATATTAGTAGACATTCTTTATTTGTTCGCCGCCCCTGTTTACTCCGTCCTTCTCTCTTCGCCTTCATTCGCTCTTGTCTTCTCTTCAACTACCACCTTTCTATGTACATGTAGCATCTCACTTTTCCCTACCCCTCTGGGAAGTTCCAGCCATTCGAGTCTGTTCTTTCTCCCTCCCTTGCTCGAAAGCCCAACTGTCTACGGTCGCTTCCCGCTCTCTTTTTCTTGACTACTTTCACTCTCATTTTCATGCCATTGCTGTGTACACAGATGGCTCTAAGTCTTCTGACGGCGTAGGATTCGCAGCAGTGTTTCCGGACAGTGTCGTACAAGGGCATTTACTATCTTCGGCTAGTATTTTTACTGCTGAATTATATGCCATCCTTACAACACTTATCCGTATTGCATCTATGCCTGTGTCATCATTTGTGGTTGTCTCAGACTCCCTTAGTGCTTTACAGGCTATACAAAAATTTGATACACCTCACCCCTTAGTCCTCCGTATCCAACTTTGGCTACGCCGCATCTTTACCAAGCATAAAGATATTGTTTTTTGTTGGGTCCCTGGTCATGTTGACGTACAGGGCAATGAACAGGCAGACACTGCTGCGTGGTCAGCAGTACATGACCTACCAGTTTCTTATAGAGGTATTCCATTTACGGACTATTTTGCTGCAATATCTTCCCACCTTCACACCCTTGGCAACAACGTTGGTCTACTCTGCTCGGCAACAAACTTCAATCTATTAAACCGAGTATAGGTTACTGGCCGTCTTCTTATCACCAGTGTCGAGGTTGGGAGACTACTCTCTCCCGTCTTCGCATTGGCCATATTCGTCTTACTCATGGATATCTCATGGAGAGGCGTCTTGCTCCTCTCTGTGAGAATTGCCAAGCTCCATTATCAGTCAGCCACATTCTGTTGGACTGCCCACTTTATCAACGAGCACGCAGAATTTACCTCTGTCGTCGTCTTCGCTCCGCTGCTCTCTCTTTACCTTCCCTTCTCGCTGATGGACCCACCTTTCATCCGGACTCTCTCATTGACTTTTTGACAACAACTGACTTACTTCACAAATTCTGATACCTTCAGCCCTTTCTACTTCAATCTCTTGCTACCCTCTACCCCCGTACTATCCCCTGCCCTGCTGTTTTCTGTAACCTACTGATCATCCCCCCTCCCTTCTGCCATCCAATACCCTCGCTTCCTTCCCTACCCTGCAGCGCTGTATAGCCCTTGTGGCTTAGTGCTTCTTTTTGATTATAATAATAATAATAATACCTAACTCCTACAATGTACAAAAAAAATCCAGTTTTATGTACAATAAATTTTTTTTTTTTAACCCTTTGACTGTCGCAACCCCCAATCCTGAGGTGTCTCCTGGTGTTGCAAAATTAAAAAAAAAAAATTATTTTTTCTTATGAAATGATAGAGAATCTTTTCCCGATTGTAATGACATGAAATTTGATGGAAAACTGACGGAATTATGCTCTCCCGAAGTTAGCGACCTCGGCGCTGTTTACGAATCGGCGATTTCACCCACTTTGAGCCCTATTTTCGGCTAATTCCATTGTTCCAGTTGCCCAAACTTATAGCTATTTCTTTAGAACTCCATTTTTTCTATCGATTGAGTACAAGAAACTGCCCATTTACCGATTTCAGCTACCTAATAATGTGGTCAGAAATTTGCAATTTGGCCAATTTCACGAAAACTAAAAAATATGACAATTTCAAAATAAGGTCCAGAATGAACAATGCAGACATTCCTGGCTCTAAAATAACATTTTCTTTGCTCATCAGTCATGTCTCCAGGCCCCTCTGATATTACTCTTGCTTTCTATTTTGAATTTTTATTCAAACAAATAATAGAAGACTTACTATTATGCAGACTACTGCAATACTGTAATAATTGTATAAATAACATCAACCCATTCATGACTGCATATTAGAATGGCTAGTTGGACATTTATTGGACAATGGCATCATTTGTTTACTTTTGAACATCGGCAAAAATCAAACATTTCCCCTACTTTGAGCTCCATTTCTAGGTTCTTTTTATAGTAAAATCAATCAAAATCACCTATATTTCTATAATATGTTTTCCATTCTATCAAATGATACCAAGGAAACGAGAGTACAACCATAAATATACAAAAATAGACGACAAAGTCGGCATTTTAATTAAAAAATAACGGTCGGAGTTTTTTTTTCTCATTATGCACTGCATGCTCCAGGATTTTTTTTATATGGTGCACACTGACCACACAGACCCATTCTCTCACATGTGGGCCTACCAGCTTTCTCCTGCATGATTTGAAGCCGCTAGACTTTATGAGTATGTATACGTCAAACACGGTACCTTGTAAGACGTATATATACGGCCGCGACAGTCAAAGGGTTAAGCATATGAGGCATCTCTGCCCCAGGTAGGGTTCCCGACACTAGGTCACCCTGATGAAGTGGTGAGGTTTTTACTGGTTTGTGCCTAGGGCTTGATTTGGGTCAGTTTATTTTACTTTCTACTCATTCTATTACACTCGCCCTTTACTCTTCCCCTTCATTCTTGGGCTTATTCCCTCACCCTTCACTCATTCTTCTACATTCTTGGGCTTGCTCCCTCACCTTTCACTCTTCCAGATTCTTGGGCTTGTTCCCTCACTCTTCACTCACTTTTCTCCCAAATTCTTGGGCTTCTTCTCTCTCACTTTCACCTCCTCTATTTGGCTTACCTGGATTCTACCTGGAGGGTATTCCAGGGATCAATGCCCTCATGGCCCGGTCCATGACCAGGCTGCCTTGTGGATCAGGGCCTGATCCACTAGGCTGTTACTGCTGGTCGCACATAGTCCAACGTATGAACCACAGCCCAGCTAATCTGGCACTGACTTTATCTGTCTACCTCCCTCTTGAAGGCAGCCAGGGATCTATTGGTAATTCACCTTATGGCTTCTGGGAGGCTGCTGAACATTCTTGGGACCCAGACACGTATGGTGTTTTTTCTTGGTGTAATAATGGTGCTTGTCCCTTAATCTTTACTACCTCCTTCATTCTTTGGCTCATTCCTTCATCTTTTACTCTATCCATTCTTTCAGATATACACCCTACCATCACATTTTGTTCTATCTTTGTTTGAAAGAAGTGCCCATTAAACTAATTAAATAGTTAAGCAAATCATTTCTTTTTTAAATATAATTTTTTTTGCTTATTTTTAATGTTTATTGTGTGCAGGAGGTGCTGGCAGCATACAGAAAACTTGACGGAGGGCGGGGCTGCACCACTTTATTTGCCGTGTGTGTCGTGTGCCAGCAGGTTCTTGCCCAGGCGGACTTCAGCCAGCACATGGAGACGCATGACGAAACCACTGTGGAGTTTCCTTCACTGGCTCAAGTATCCTCACACATGCTCAAGAAGTGAGAGAACTCTTCAGCAGGTGTGTAATGTGGAATAATCACTGGAAGCACCACCTGTTGAGAATCACTGTAATGTGTATTATTAGAGGAAAAGACAATACCATATACAGCGTCTTAATTGTTCTCATTGTGTACATATGTAAATTATGGTAAATTCATTAACATGGTGAGGCATCTTAGTAGTGCACATCCCACTTGGTATTCTGAATATAAATTAAAAAGCTTGAAATACCAAATTCCTTATGAAAAAAAAAAACAAATGCAAGAAAGCAAGTCTTTCAGTTATAGGTACAAGATTTATTAAGAGTAGTGGCCAAGAAATGCTCTTATTTCATCATTTTATTGAATGCATTTTGTTTGAAGATATTTCTTCTGATGCTTATTTATGGTGGCAAGGAGAACTAGTCAGTGATTTTTAATAACTTGACAGATAATTGATAATGATTTCTCTTCTATGGTGAATATTTATTATATGTAATTGGGGGTGTTGGTTTTGTCATTGATTCTATTCTAGCCTTGCAAGATACAACAAAAAGAATCGTCTTCTGTTTTCTGTGATATGTAAAGAACTAAAAGTGCATTACTTTTCAGCGATACCTTAGAGTAAACATCCATGGTCGTCTACAGAAACACTATTATGGCAAAAATAAAAAATTATTTTTTATTGATTATTATTTTCTTTGCCCAAGTTTACATTGCAGCACCATTTTTGGTCTTTCTCATCCTTGATTTAAACAAAAAATCTTTCTAGCATTTCTCTTCTTGAATTGTCCCTGGCTTAACTTTATTTAATTTATTCTATGTGCATATACACACCCACATATACTGGGGTTCAAAAACAGGAATGGCAGGACTCTGTAAATTAGTTGAAAGTTAAGGGATGGGACCAAGGGCTATAGCTCACCCCAGGTACTTTGGCTTTAAAACTAGATATTAGCTTTGTGAATTGTTAAGGATAGAAAGTATTGGCAATGCACTCTTGTGGAGGACACCAGGAAGAGAGAGAATATGCTCATGCACATTCATAAAATATTGGAAAAACAAGGAAGATTTCTTGTAGTTTTGATAAAAATGGGAAACTATAATTCAGTGTGCTAGGTCAACCAGGTTGTGACGACTATGGAGATTTGTAAATGGCTGGCAGCAGCAGCCTAGCTCGCCAGGCAGTCAACAATGAAATCCGAGTCTCAGGTTAGGTTTCAAGAGGCACTCTTGAAACCTAACCTGGTTACAGGTATGCCTAATACGAACTGCACAGGTAGTGGTGTAGCTGGAATGGGCTCTTGAGATGTGATTTGTTCTGAGAGTTGTACCCTCATCTTGATTGGCTGATCAACCAAGCTGTTGCTGGTAGCCTATTGTCCTAGCATGTATAGTATTTAGTGTGTTCTATAACCATTATAAACCTTAACCTGTACAGTACTTTACTTAAAAATAAGCAATTACACTCACTCCCACTTCTGGGTATGGGTGTAGAAAGTAGACTTGGTTCATTCCTTAGAATACTTTACCTTAAGGTAGTGCCGGATCAGCTGGGCTGTGGTTCATATGTTGGACTGTGCGGGCAGGCAGTAACAGCCTTGTTGATCAGGCCCTGATCCACTAGGAGGCCTGGTCATAGATTGGTCCGCAGGGGCGTTGATCCCCGGAATGCCCTCCATGTAGACCTCATCAGCCATTTTCTGTTAAGGTGGGGTAACCCAAACAATGAAACACATTTACCATTAGTTACTCAGTAGCTGTTTTATTAGAAGTGTGTAGGAATTACAGGTTGAGTGACCCTGTGAACTGCAACATTCCCACCCATCCCATTCTTCAGAACACTGGCACTGTACTAGCTGTCTCCAGGAAATCTGGCTAACCAGTTTTCCTACATCCCTCCATAAATGTTCCCTTGCTTACACTCCAACATGTCAAATCCCCAATAATTATTTCTCCACTCATTCTAATCTAAATTCTCACAACCCTTTCCACTTGAAATGTTCATCAGTCTCTCCTTCAAACTCTTAGTGGACATCCTCTATTCCACCTTCCATCCACTTTAGATTTAAACACCCTCTTAATCACCCCATTCTCCATCCTCTGTAAAAGATTGAAACATTTTTACATCCTATCCTCCTCTCTCTGAATCATACCTTATCACACTGACAGCTGATTTCTATGCTTCTTATTCTCTCCATAATATTCATTTCACATATTGCTCTTAAACATGACAGTTATATTGCCTTGTACTGTCTCTTCATTGTAACATTTAAATGACATGCCTCATGACCCTATAAAAGTGTTGATACCACTGTATCCTGGTACATTACCTTTTTTTTTTCCTTCATTGATAAATAGCTATTAACCCTTTCAGGGTTTCGGCCGTACATGTACTAGTACGGCTTACGCACCAGTGTCCATGATGTACTAGTACACATAAATTCTAGCGTCTTCAAATCTAATGATAGAAAGCTGGTAGGCCTACATATGAAAGAATGAGTATGTGGTCAGTGTGCACAGTATAAAAAAAAAATCCTGCAGCACACAGTGCATAATGAAGAAAAAAAAACTTTGACCGTGTTTTTGGATTAAAACAGCGACTTTGCACTGTATTTTCGTATGGTATTTGTTGTTGTATTCTAGCTTTTCCTGGTCTCATTTTATAGAATGGAAGACATATTACAGAAATTGAGATGATTTTGACTGGTTTTACAATGAAAAGTACCTTGAAATTGAGCTCAAAGTTGCAGAAATGTTCAATTTTTACCAAAGTTCAAAAGTAAACAAATCATGTCAAGCGTCCAATACACGTCAACTGGCGAGTCTAATGTTCTTTCACAAGTGCGCCGATATTATTTATACCATTTCTACACTAATGCAGTAGTCTGCATAACAGTAAATCTTCTATTTTTTGTCAGAATAAAAATTCAAAATGGAAAGCAAAAGAATGTAAGAGGGGCGTGGGGACGTGACTAATGAACACCAAAAATGTTATTTTACTGCCAGGAATGTATGTCTTGTTTATTCTGGACCCTATTTGGAAATTGGCATCTTTTGAAATTTGTGTGAAATTGGCAAAATTGCCAAATTCTGACCACTGTATTGGATAGTTAAAAATCAGTAAATGGGGGGTTTTTCCCTTGTACTCATTCGATAGAAAAAATGGAGTTCTAGCAAAATAGGTATGTTTTTTGTAGACTAGTACACTGGAATTGGCCGGAAATAGGGCTCAGTGCGCAAAATCGCCGATGCGTAAACATCGAGATCGCTGAATTCGTGAGAGCATAATTCTGTAAGATTTCCATCAAATTTCATACTTTTGGTGTCATTATGATTGGGAAAAGATTCTCTATCTTTTCATAAGAAAAAATAATTTTTTTTTTGAAATTTGGGGGACCCTGAGAACAAGTCTCTGAGAAGGCCTGTGGACCCTGAAAGGGTTAAAAGACATGTCAACAATATCTACATTTTACCTTGTCTATTCTGTGACTCAGTCTTTCAAACACCCTTATGTTAACATATCCACTATCAGATATTTAATCCCTTAGCTGTGGCAAGTGGGCCAAAAAATTCCTGGTGGTGTGGTGAGATTTTAAAAAAAAAAATCTTAGTATTCAATAGAGTGCATTTTTCAGAATCGAATAAGACTAAAATGAGTGGAATCTGATAAAAATTCATGATTTTTTGGTGTGTTGAAGTTGGTGAAACTTCAACATGCCATAAAAGTAATCACCTTTTGGCAACAGTGGTATAAACGTGCCAGTGATATTTCCATTTTACAATTATTGACACTAAGATATGATTGCTTTTTCTGTTTTTTAGGTACTTTTAATATTTAACACTGCACCAGTTTATGATATTAGATGTGCTTCAGGGTGTTTTAGCACCTCAAACAGGAAAATGCTTGCCCGATGTTGCTTCACTTGAGGTATACTGTATATTCCTTTTTTTTTTTTTCTTTTTAACTATTAATGATGAGGGAAAAAAGGTGAGTGGTGCGTTTGAGGGATATTGGATCCAAAAAACGTTATCTAATGGAGGCAAAAAAAGGGGAAAGGGATAAATAATAGTACCCAAAACTCTTATATGGATGTAATTTGGGTGGTAAATGCAGCACGAGGAGACGGTTGGGGCAGTGGAGATGTCCTGTCAAAGGGGAAATGTGGTGTAAATATATGCAGAAAATCGGAGTGGGGAAATTAGGAAGAGGTTGGAGTTATAAAAACATATCGAGGCAGAAGAAGGGTTGTTGAGGTGGTTGGTCATTTAGAAGAATGGTCAAATAGAATTACATGGAAACATATTTATTATAGGGGAAGGGAAAAAGGGTAGGGTCGTCCAAAAGGTGGAAAAGGGGTAAAGGGGGTTTGTGTGAGGGGCTTGGACTTCCAGCAAGCGTGCATGAGCGTTTAGATAGGAGTGAATGGAGGACAATGATACTTGGGACCTACGAACTGTTGGATGTGACAGGTAATATTTAAGTGAAGGATCAGGAAAAACCCTATTTTCATATAGCGGACTGAGTCCTGGAAAGGAAGTACAATGCCTGCACTTAAAGGAGGGTTTGGGATATTGCAGTTTGGAGGATATGTTGTGTATTCATACGTATTGCTTCAAACTGTTATATTTAGCACCTCTGCAAAAGCAGTGTAAGTTGAGTGTGGAAAATGTTGAATGATGATGAAAGTATTTTCTTTTTGGGATTTTTTTTTTGGGGGCAAAAACCCCCTCGGGGAACGACCGACTTGTTTGAAAAAAAAAAAAAAATCTTGTAAGGTTATGTTCAAGGAATACTTGTAACATTACCATTATTTCTGAGTGTATTGCTTCTCATATGATGAATGAGAAAATAGAATGGAAGAAAAGGGTCATCAAATTATTAAAAAAAAACTGTTACAATGAAAAGTATTTATTCTAAATAGAGATTACTGATATTAGCAAAAATTTGAACGTAAGAGATGTAAGAAGCACAAAGGGAACAGAAAGCCATCCAGGATATTGCGAAACACTAGTGATGGGTCAAAGTAGCAGTATCAGTATGAGCTAATCTAATTTTAAAGTACGTATTAGCCTAAAATTGAAATCGGTAAAAGGCCTAAATTGAATATCAGTATTAGCAAAAAGGGTTTTTTAGTTTCCATCCTTTCTTGTTAAACTTGTATCCCTGCTCGTGGAAGATATGAAAATGGATAAAGTAGAAAATCCCCATAAAAAGAAGACACAAAAATTGCAAGAGGATATAAACAAAAAGATTTTGGGGGGCAGATAGAAACCTGTGTTTCTATGGCTACAAATTAGAACTGCTCAGGTATTTAGGAAATCGGAGCTTAAAAACATACTGTACACAAAACACAGGAGGACCTCCTAATAGAATGAAAGAAAAAAGTGAAAGACCTGGTGAAATAATTCAGCAACATACTGTTCAAGAGCCACTAAGACAAATGTTGTGAAAAATAAAAGATTGGGGGATAATAAGAACATTCAAAACAAGCCAAAAAAGTATTGCCATTGGTGATAATTTTAAGCACTTGGCTCCTAGCTAAGACTACTGTTATAGTGACAATCCAATCGGGCAAGAAGAGAGAGCAGAGTTGGAACAAATAATATTTTTCTGCTTTGTAATGCCATGAAAAATTTAAATTTCGGGGGAAAACCTAAGATACTAAAATTTTTCTGTTGTGTTTGG